AGCGTCTCGACTGTTTGTAAAGACGCGTAAGTCAAAGCAGCCGCAAACATGCACTTTTATTGGATACTTGACAGTTTTTCTTGATAATTGGATTTCCGTGGACAGACTAGGCTCGTTTGACAGGGTTTGAAAAATGTTTGGTCGATCGTGAACAATCATAGACAGCGAGGGACGCGTGTCTTGACAACGGATAGCCCAAGTCATCGAATTCGAGAAATATTGCGATTTTTCATGTCTCGTATGCTGAGAAAAGTGGTTGATAAACAATATAGAAAGAGTAATCACTAGTGCTGAAGATTGGACACATTGCGTCAATTGGACGCGTAGTAGCGTTCCAAGTGTACTTTCGATCCGTGCAAAATTTTTTACGAAAGGAATACTTTTTCTAGAGAAATGACTTCCGACGTTCTTGTCAAACACTCTGTATCGAACTGTTTTGCTACAAATCTTTTTCTCCACGCGTTGAACGAAGTTTAATACTACCAAAACAAGTGTAGTTTCTGGAGACTCGAATGATCCTTCGTAAAATACATAAAAACAAGCTTGTGTACCCTATTTATAAATATTACGAAGATGTTCTGTTTCTTTTACACCTTCTTTAACGTCTCTGATGGAAATTTCATGCTATGGTATATCTATCGTCTGTAGTTTATTTAATTTAGTCTCCACCTAATCAGTTCAGTAACGTTAAATCCGTTCTCGTAACAGCACTCATAATAGCATCGCGATATGATCCAGTTAATGACTCGTGAAGTCATCTACAACTAACCAAAACGAGACTCATCCACACGTGGATGGCAATTGGTGCAAACGTGTTGCTCGCGATATTTTAATACACTGCTCACAAAAATTGGAGTCACGTTTCAAAATGAATATGAAGCGATAAAGAAGAAACAAGGACATAAAAATATCACGTCGTTTGCTTTTCTGATTGATACAAAAATTGTTTAATAAGAAAAAAAAAAAGAATCAAATGCTTCTTTTCTTTCTCTTAGCGCTTCAATAATCAATTTCGAAATGTCCCCCAATTTTCCACCAGCAGTGTACGTAGAATCAAACGTTATAATCGAACGTAACACCGGTTGGTACGTATTGTAAGTAATAAAAATCGAATTAACGGAGAAAGCGGCGACAACCGCTGTCGTCCGACGCACACACTGCGTCCTGCAAAACGGGCAGCAACTGTCTGCTCGCTCGGGCATAGCTCGAGGAAACTTGTCCGCCGGTTACGACACAGATCGTCTACAATGGTTGCGGACCTGCTTTCAGGGAGTGGCCGGCATTCCGGATTGTAAAGATCAGCGGCGGTGCGATGAATGGAACGCGGCGTTGAGAACGATCCGGAAAATGGATGTCGCCAAGAGTGCTGCAACGGAGGAGTTCGTGACGGTGGTCAGCGTGGAGAGCCAGCCGCCGCCGCCGGAGAATTTCGTCACGGTGTTGTCGATCGGTAACACCGGTAAGAAAGAGGACGATGCTCATCTGCCGACGATTCCGATCGCCGCGTCGACCAAGAGCACGAGCAACGGTGTCGACGGGCCGCTCGAGGAGGAGGTCGAGGTGTACAGGTTACCGGGGGAACGGCTGGGGTTCGGACTGAAGTTCGAAGGAGGGAACAAGACGTCCGAGAGAGTCAGGAGGCTGTTCGTTCAGAGCTGCGCGGAGCAAAGTCCGGCTAGCAGGGCGAAATGCTCGTGGGGCATTTTGGGGGAGGGTGACGAGGTAAGGAAATTGTCGAGCTTTTAAAATATAAATTTTTATATATATATATATATATATATATATATATATATATATATATATATAATTTTAAATTAATATAATTTAATAAAGTTTTATAATAAAAATATATTTCAGTAATAATTAAAATTTGATAACATTATTAATAGTATAAAGTAATGAAAATGAATTTTTCGTAAAATATATTTTGTAATATATGAAATAAATATATAATGAAATAAATTCAGTATAAAGTATATAGTAGATATGTATCATAATTATATACCTAAAGTATCATATATCTAAAATGTCATATCTACGTATACCTAAAGTATCATAATTATATATCTGGTATACCTATATATTTAGTATCATAATTATATAATGAAATAAATTCAGTATAAAGTATATAGTAGATATGTATCTTTTCTATCAGGGTTAATTAATTTATTTTAATAATTTTAATTTTCTCGATAGTAAATGATCTAAATATATATATATTCTTGTTAAATAAAAAAATATATATGTTTAGAAATTAAATGTTTGTCGTATTTATTAATATATATAGTTTTTAGTGTAATTACATACCTGGTATCATAATTACGTAATGATACTAGGTATATACAGTATATAGTATAAAGTATATGATATGTAGTATCATAATGTCATAATTATGTACCTAAAGTATCGTAATTATATAACTAAAATGTCATATCTACGTATACCTGAAGTATCATAATTATATATCTGGTATACCTATATATTAGTATCATAATTATGAAATGAAATAAATTCAGTATAAAATATATAGTAGATATGTATCATAATTATATACCTAAAGTATCATATATCTAAAATGTCATATCTACGTATACCTAAAGTATCATAATTATATATCTGGTATACTTATATATTAGTATCATAATTATATAATGAAATAAATTCAGTATAAAGTATATAGTAGATATGTATCATAATTATATACCTAAAGTATCATATATCTAAAATCATACCTATATATATCTAAAGTATCATAATTATATACTTGGTATACCTATACATCTATATAGGTACATCATGATAATTATGTTATTTTAGATACATATATATAGATACACCACAATAATTATGATACTTTAGGTATACTTGGAATATTATATATACCTACATGTATAGATATATTATGATAATTATAATACATAAGGTATATCTATATAAGTATACTATACTATATAGATATACCTAAAGTATCATAATTATATACCTGGTATATCTATATACCTATATAAGAATATTATGATAATTATGATACTTAAAGTATACCTATATAAGTATACTATACTATATAGATATACCTAAAGCATCATAATTATATACCTGGTATATCTATATACCTATATAAGTATATTACGATAATTATGATACTTTAGATATACCATGTTAATCATGACAGTTTAGGTATATCTATATACACACCTAAAGTATCATAAAATATCATTGCCTGGCGCAATTTGATCAAAAACTATAATACGTACAGCTATTTACGACCTTTTGCAACACTTTTTGGACAGACTCTTACAAAATATCGTGTTGTGTGAGATTAGAGCAAAGTGTTGCAGTAGGAGGCTTGTAAAGAAAGTTTAGACTGAGAGTTTCGATAAACGAGTTTCGGTACAAATCACGGAGACCCAGTTGTCGCGTAACGATTCTCAAGAGGGGCAGGTTCGTTCGCAGCGAGGGGCAGGAGCAAGAAACGAGCCTGTCGCATCGCACACACCGGTCATGTCACACAACGTGCCTCGTTTCCAGGTACTCTCGATCGACGGTGTACCAGTGACACACATGACTCGGCTGGATTGCGTGAGACGGCTGAAGGAGTCGCAGCTGGTTATCAAGCTGATGGTTAGGTGCAGAGGAGCGCTGAGGCCGGAGGTGGTGAGCGCCGAGAAAAAGAATTCACCGGAGAGGAGCAAAGTGCCGCCCGAATTGCCCTCGGTGCCACCACCCGTGCCGCCGCGAAAGCTGAGGCAAGCCCGAGGCTTGGCCGACGGCGAGGCGAACCCGAGTCCCGTGAAGAAATCCTGGAGCGGTTCCAGCTCGCAGAGCAGCTCGCAAAATGGCTCGCCAAATTCGCAGCCTGCCAATCAGCCGGACAGCAAGTCGACCTCCTTCGAGAGCTGCGAGTCTTCCCCGAGGAGCAACGGCTCCGTGCTTCAGGAGAGCCCGAAGGGATCGATCGTCAAGGAACGATCGCCAGAACTCGCGAAATCCAAACAGGTAAATCTACAGTTATTATCATACACGAGTTATCTTCTCTTGCGAGATGCAACCTCCATTCTGTCCCACCTGCAGGAACCACCCGAAGCGATGGTGTACATGGACGCCAGGTCCCAGTGCGGCTCGACGCACGGAAGCACGTCGGACGACACCGGCAGCTCGATGTCGACGATGATCGACCGATTCTCCACCACCTCCGACCGAGTATCCACCATTTCCACCGTCTCGACTGCCTCCACCGCCTCCGAACAACCGAGCGAACAATTCTCGCGAGTGGATCAAGACTTCGTGGATCGATCCTCGGACCGCGACTCGCAACTGTCCAAAGCGATCTGTCCGTTCGAGAACCTGTCCGACGACTACCAATCGTCCAACCCGACCCCCGACTATCTGCTCCGCCGTCTGGCTAGCTCCGAAGCGGTGACTCACGTGGAGTCCCGGGGCGAGGTGGAGAAGATCACGGCGGTTGTGGCGCCGAACACGGTGCTGATCGAGGAAACGATCACGTTTCAGCCGCCGTTGAGCTTCCAGGACGCGCCGTTGAGCTACGGCCACGAGGCCAGGCCCGATCTACTCTACACGGCCGATCTCGCCGCCGACTCGACCACGCACTTCAGGCCAATTAAGGACGACGTGGAACTCGTCGAGCGCGTCAACAGCGTCCACTGCGAGGAATTCCAGTCTTCCGCCGAGTCTCTGGCCAAGCGCAAGGAAACTCCGAGCAGCAGGACGCCACCGCCGCTGCCTGCCAGGAATCACGTGAACAGAATCGCCGTCAATCAACCGAACAGCGACCAATCCTTCAGCGAGGCTCTCGACAATCAGGATGCACCTGTTCTACCGCCCAAGCCGCTGCCCAGGAGAGACGTCAAGATCAGACGGAAGAGGCCACCGCCGCCACCGCCGCCACCAGCGATCCTCCCTCGAACCGAGGCCAAACCGTCCTCGTTGCCCGAGTCCAGGCAAACCAGCTTCGAGAAGGAGGACGACGACGACGAGCCTGACGTCGCAAACGCCGGCAAACTCGACGAGCTTGCGCGCGTTGTCAGGGCGAGGCTCGAGGACAGGTCGAAGACGACAGATCTCGACGACAGGAATTTGACGGACATGGTCGCGGACTCGGACAAGAAGAGAACCGAGGAGGAGACCGACGATACCGAGTCTATGGAGAACTACGATCCTCGGGAGGAGGAGGGATTCAGGACGAACAAGGTGTTGGAGATCATCGAGATACGAAAGGCGAGGGCGTTCTCACCTCGCGGAACGAATTCAACGTTGCGTGAGGATAAAGGCAAGCATCAGGAGCCGGAGAGGCCTAAGCCGGAGCTTAGAGCTTCGGTTAGCTCGGCCTCGACCGAGACGGAGGATTCTGACGACGAGGGTGAACAGATCACCAAGTTCAACGAGCCCATTGACGAACTGGAGGACAAGGTGGTTGGAAGCGAGAGTCTGGAGCGATCGAGAGACATCGATCCGCCGGTTAAGAACGAGGATACGTCGCACGGATTGCGAGAGAGCAGCGAGAGCGAGGATTCTTTTAGATCGTGCAACGATATCAGCGTGCACGCTCTGACGACCAACCGTGCCCAGAGCAACAACGAAATTACGGACGAGGAGGACACGAGCGAAGAGAGCGACGAAGGGGATTATTATTGGCAGAGCAACCTGGCGACCATTGGCGAAGAGGAGGAGACCAATTCCCTCGAGTACACGAATCCGTGAGTCTTCAGCTTCGTTCTTGTCTCACAGCCTTCAGTAAATGTTGGCTATCGAAACACACGTGTATAGCAGATATAAAGCACCGAGAATCTCACACCTATACCATTCGTAATTTATTGATCTTTCGAAGAATCGAAGTTGAAAATTCAAATTATAATACTATGGGCTCGTGTGGCTCGGTATTATAACTCAAAGTTAACTTATACAACATAAAGCAATAAATTTTGTTTTATTAATCGTCAGTTCTTTCGAAGAATTGAATTGAAACTGAAAATTCACTCAAATTCACATTTCAAATCGAAACTATAATTATAATACTATGGGCTCGTGTAGCTCGGTATTATAACTCAAAGTTAACTTAAAGCATAAATTTTTGTTTTATTAATCGGTATTATAACTCAAAGTTAACATAAAGCAATAATTTTTGTTTTATTAATCGTCAGTTCAAAGAATTGAATTAAAACTGAAAATTCACTCCAATTCACATTTCAAATCGAAACTAATAATTATAATAAAAAATGGGCGTGGCTCGATATTATTCAAAGGGTTAATTTACAAGACATAAAGCATACCTATATAATTTGTATTTATTAATCGTCGGTTTACAAAGAATTGAATTGAAATTGAAAAATTCAAATTTACATTTCGAATCGAAACCATAATTTCTACCACAGTGACTCGATATTGTAACTCAAAGGGCTAACTTGTAAATCATATCATCCTCTAAAACACTTTGTGTTACTGCGAATATGACGAGCGTTAAACGTTAATTAACGCCAGTTAATTCATTTCACTCGATTCAACTGGTCAACCTCTTGCGCTAGAATGACGTGCCACGCACGTCCAGAATTTTTTGTCCCAAAATTGCAATATTTTCTCAGTTTCAAGTATATTTAAGTATAACGCAGGCGAAACAAATAATAAACTTATTACTTCTCAATAATTTCTATCCAGTGACATCATACGGACGAAGTTCAAAAGAAGAAGAAAGCGACGAATTATTTTATACGGTTCGGTCACTCGTTATGGTCCGCAATCAGTTGCCAGCGCAAGTGGTTAAAGAACAACTTGCCTGGACCCCTTTCTAATGAACTCTTACCATCATAATCAACATTGAACTGGTACCATAATAGACTGTTCATCTTTCAACTGCGTGCTTCGAATTTTAATATCTCCATCTGACGCTAAAATGGAGTAAGATTTTATTTATTAAAATAAGGAAGATTTTCTTTGAGATTTTAGAGAAAATCTTATATTATAGAACGTATCGTCTCGTTAATCTCACCACCGAAATGAATTATATTTCGACGTTGTAGTGGTATCAAATATTAGTATAGACTATAGTACACAGTTGTAATTTTAGAATATTCTGAAAAGAAGGAAAAGACAGTCGAAGAGAACAGCGGTCAACACTCTGTTAGTCGCAATGCTTGCTCCGGATTCGAACGGAGATGAAGCTTATTATGGTTGAACAATACGTTTGGCAATAAACGTGTCGTTCAACTTTGCGAAACCAGTTCCTTCGAAAGTGGGAATGAAACGAACCGTCCGTACACAACGATCTGTCGCCAGATACCTCTCGATCTGCTACCAAAACTGGTGTCTCGCATCGACCTATCAATGTATACCATCTGACAGAATCTACCGGAATACTTTTTTTTATTCACACTACGATGGTATCTGCGTGGCAAACAGTCAAACTCCAAAGTAGACGCGAGTTCACAGTACATTAATTCACGACACTGCGGATCGCGTCTTTAATTGCGAGCAAATTCCATTTCCGCCTTGCGTTTCTCTCAGGTTTGCCTCGTCGCTGATTTGTACTTGCGAAACACTCGCCTCGTGTTGATTTGTCACGCGTTCGAACCACGCCTTCCTCGATACGTAATTGAGCCATTAGGTCGTCTCGTATAATTTTACGTTTTCTGATCGTTTTACCGACAGAGTCCGACACGGAGTTGAAGAAATGAGGTTTATCGAGCTCGTCAACCTAAGTGGTTTAAAATCATCAATTTAAAAAAAGAGAGACGATGTAGCTCACTTGGTGTTGCATTTTTAGCGTGCACGCGTCCATAATCTATCTGTCTTTCCATAGATTAATTTATAATTAATTTGGGCAACACGAAACTCATCAGATGAACAGTTTAATTGAAAGGGTGAAATTTCCGAGAACTGTACGCTTCGATTCGTAAAAATGCACCATAGAAAAATGGTCCTCAAAAATGGCACCAGAAAAGTTATTCCATGTCGTAACACGTGAAATGTCAGATCTCCCTTTTATATCGACACTCTGAATTTCAAGCTTTATTAGAAGAATGACACGATTGCCTCTGTCAACAGGAATAACGAAGAATCAACCGACAACGAGGCGAGCGTCACGGGGAAAGCAGAGCGAGAGGAATCGGCGGGCAAGGAAGGCATGCTCGATGCAAATGGTAAGTGTGAATACAGCGACGTCTTCATTATCCTCTAGCCTGTTCCTAGTTGGGAAGAGTTCCTCGCTCGGCAAATTAAAAGCCGCCGGTTCGAGGTCAGTGCAAAACAATCGAGCGGCTCTGCTCGGGGAGAAGTTCCATTAAAACCGCTCGAATCAGTCAATTAAATCCATCAGCCGCGTTGCTAACCGCGCAAAAATGTTAGCGCCATTCGCGTTGACCCGCGAGTTCCCCTTAATTGCCCAGCTTCTTGCCTCGTCCTTGCTCTTGCCTGCTATCAGATGAACCAACTTCGATCCAACGCTAACCAACGAATTTGACACTGACTCGGAACTACCGAGGTCGTTAAAATGATTGATTGACAATTTTTGTTAGACATTTAAATGACAATTTTTGATATTCAGACATTACAGATGTAAAACAGTGTGTTTTTAGAAATTTAAATGATTTTTTTTATAAAATATTATATTATGAAAATTTTTTTATAAAATATTATATTATAAAAATTTTTTTATAAAATATATTATAAAAATTTTTTTATAAAATATTATATTATAAAAATTTGTGTATTGTATTGTATTTTACAGTTAGCTATTTTTTTTCACTAACAGCGTATTTTTAGATTTAAATGATTTTTTTATAAAATAAAAGGTTGCGTGTTCTATTATATTTTATAGTTTTTCTATTTTTTTCACTAATAGTGAAATTTCTATTATTCATTTGTAACAGTGTATCTTTAAAAATTCAAGTGACCTTTTATAAAATACACAAATAAAAGCTCGCACATTCCATTGTATTTCAAAGTTTTTCTATTTTTTTCACTAATAGTGAAATTTCCATTTTTTTTTTTTTTTCATAACAGTATATTTTTAGAAATTTAAATTGATTATTTACAAAATACACAAATAAAAGATTATACATTCCACTGCAATTTACAATTTTTCTATTTTTTTTTTTTTTTTTTTCATAACAGTGAAATTTCTATTATTCATTTGCAACAGTGTATCTTTAGAGATTTAAATGACTTTTTACAAAACACACACAAATAGAAGCTCGCATGTTGCATCTTACAGTTTCTCCATCTCTTTCACTTTTATGTCCCCGCATGAAAATTCTAATCTGCTTCGATCGTTGGTAGTTCCAGCGTTCACAAAAATTGTCAGACAGAAAAAGCACAAGTAGAAAAAGGAGAGAAGTTGGACTCTCTGCGTGCAAGAGCTATCGCGGCGAAAGGAATTCGCGGCAGAGCACGCCCACGCGGCGTATTCCGTGGATCCGTTTGCCACGCGGCTCGTCGCAAAGCGTCGTCGCGTTTCATAAAGGTTACGCATTAATCTCGTAGAGCTCTTATGTGCGTTACTCTTACGCCGCTAAGGTTCTCCGGTTTCGCGCGCGTGTGCACGCCAGCGAGCATTCAAAACGGAGGCAGGCAGCTCTCTCGAGCCGAGAGACAAAGGCGTGTTTTGCCTGGGCGCACCTTCGACACGAGGAATTCCACGGCTGCCCGGCTCGATCCACACGCCGAGAGCAGATCCGCCGCTGCTATTCATTGTCCGCCAAAGATGGATCGCGACTTACGTGGGAAATCGAAGGCCCGGTGATCGGCGTGGCGAGCACGACCGTCTCTCTTACGACCTCCTGCAAACACGCTAAAAATATCCCTCGCGGCTGTCGCTGCGATCAACGTTGAACCAACTCGCCAGTTTACGCGGCCACCGGTTACAAAACGTGGATATAATGCGATATCCACCTTTGCGCTCGGGCATTTCCTCGGCCAGAGTTCGCACCAACTAGGACTTTTCTCCCCTCTTATGGCTGTGTAATATATGACTTGTCTGGAGGCAAAATTTATATGTAAAACTTGGTATATCAAATTTATTATATATATATATAAAATTTATTTAATTTAACAGTATCTCCTTAACACTATTTTATCATTATTATAAAATTGAAAGACAGTATCTTTTTAAAGTTATTTTATCATTATTATGATACAAACATTTTAGGTTAGGTTTAGATTACAAGTTACTGTTTAGGTTAGATTTATATTAGTTTAGGTTATATTATAATTTATATGATAATATTATATATACATAAGTGATTTAATTTGACAGTACCTTCTTAACACTATTTTATCATTATTATAAAATTAAAAGACAGTATCTTTTTAAAGTTATTTTATCATTATTATGATACAAACATTTTAGGTTAGGTTTAGATTAGAAGTTACTGTTTAGGTTAGATTTATATTAGTTTAGGTTATATTATAATTTATATGATAATATTATATATACATAAGTGATTTAATTTGACAGTACCTTCTTAACACTATTTTATCATTATTATAAAATTAAAAGACAGTATCTTTTTAAAGTTATTTTATCGTTATTATGATACAAACATTTTAGGTTAGGTTTAGATTAGAAGTTACTGTTTAGGTTAGATTTATATTAGTTTAGGTTATATTATAATTTATATGATAATATTATATATACATAAGTTATTTAATTTGACAGTACCTTCTTAACACTATTTTATCATTATTATAAAATTAAAAGACAGTATATTTTTAACGTTATTTTATCATTACTAGAATACAAACACTTTAGGTTAGGTTTAGATTAGAAGTTACTGTTTAGGTTAGGTTAGATTTATATTAGTTTAGGTTATATATATATAATATTAATATAATATAATTTATATAATAATATAACATATATATTATAATTATATATATATATATATATATATATATATATATATATATATATATATCTGTAGTTTTGCACTTAAACAAAATTTCCTATACTTACGTTTTCGTTTACTTTCTTGCAAAAATTGTTAGATAGATTAAAACTAATTCTCAATTAGTCATTTTAACAATGTTTAACGCTATTAAATTCAAAAAATTTTATTTTTTATTTTCGATTTATTCTTTTACGTAGAATCATCTCTTCTCCGATCGTACTGTCGATTTTCTGTAAAATCGAATATTACAGAAAATATTTTCGATCCTTTTCTATATGGAACCTTGCGTAAATAAATATTTTAATTGAAATGCATTTTGATGGTCTTTACGATATCACTTTCAAATATCGAATCAGTAATAATTTACGTTTAATTAAGGTAATAAAATGTTATTACATTGTGATTTGGATGTTGAGAAAAAAATGAGGTGCTAGATAGGCGATGGTCAGATATGAAATATTTGCTTCTGTCGTATTGATTTCATTTGGAATAACATTATAACTGACTCGCTAACGTATCCAGTAATTTGTAGTTAGCGAGCAGAATGATTATTTCCATTGAGGTCTTCGCAATTTCAGTTAAGTTATTCAAAGTTTGTAAAAATTATTTAAATGATTGTATCAATCATGATACGAAGTATCATGTCGATCATTATACGAAATAGAAGTGATCGATTCGATCTGTGAAGCCCTCTTCCTTTACAAGGAACGTGTTGGCGACGCATGAGTGAGTGGTAAGTACGGAGGGTGCTCAAAAAAAAAAAAAAAAAAAGAAAAAAAAACCGAATCAGCTCTCTCTACACTCGACTCACGCCGTTTATTCTTTACTTTATCTTATGCCAAATTACCAATGTTCCGATCGTCGAGTACATATATAGACATTTCGCAAATGTTCTTTATATATACGTGTACAGAAATAGATTTCAGTGATTCGACAAGTATAAGTATTATCATAGTTGTGTTTCGTTCCAAACGATAGACTTTACGATCGGATAACACTCGAATCGATTCATCGGAAAGATTCCTATTTCTCCTCTCTTTCTTTCTTCCACATTATTATTATTAGTACTATTATCATTTTCTTTTTTTTTTTTTTATCATTTTATTATTTCTTCAGGGTGTCTATTGATAGGAAAAACGAAACCATGTTTTCTACGCAAAACTATCTCACAGTAGACATACATATATACACATATATATACTTAAGTTAATACATCGAAATCTTTATAACAACAAATCACTTGCGATAAATTACGAGACGAAAAGAAAAACTACGATATTTTTTGGAATTAATTTAGTATCGTAGGTTGACGGTGATTGGATCTTTATCCACGGTGGTTTTAATCGCCAAAGCTTGAACTTTTCATACGTTTCATGCTTTCAGAGAAACGGAAATCGGGCACGTAAACTTATTGCGAAAGTGTGGCGAAGACGGTGCAAGAGGAGGCTGCAAACTATAGCCATGAGAGAGATATTGTCTCCTTACTGTATGTTGACGTTAATAGAGATTATATAAATTATTGTATAAAATTGATTGTAACTCAGCTGGTGTGACTGTGAAAATACGAATTCGCCTAAATTTCTTTTTTTCACTTCCTGAAGGTTCACCACCTCAGTAGGCACCCTGTTTGTCTATTCTTTCTCTCGACTTCTATCGTTACTTCTAACGAGAAAAAAATTATGAAACAGCATTACCGCGCCCGTACAACACGTGTACGTACCTAAATGAACTACGTATCGTTATGAATATACTTCATTTTCAGGGGTTGTCTTTCCGAATCGTGTCTTTCCGCTCTGCTGTCGTTTCATCGGAATCAGAGGTGATTCGTGCAACCGTGTCTACTTTTCACTATTTAAGGCTGATAGAATTCACTGTTGACACTGGAAAACATTCGGTCAGCCTCGAGAAGTCGCTTCTCGTCACTCGGGGCTATGTGTATTTAACTTTATACGCGCATAGACATTGTTTCTCGACTGCGCGCTTTCCTTTCGTTCTGATTCTCGCGAGATTCGGCAGGACAATCTGACGACAGAATTGGACATGTAGAAGTTCTGTTATTTATTGAGTGTCACATTATCAACTTGTTCCGAATAAAGACGTTCTGTGGAAAGTTCGAAAGATTAGGCATAGTCTGTCGTTCTGGGAACTATCTCCTCTTTTTAACTTTTAACTAGAGCGGAAGGTAATACATATGTACATTATTCCTTTCAATGAACATGATTTTTATATTATCGTGCTACGTGTACGGTACTGAATGAAACTGTTCAGTGTAGTTGATTTTGTTCTTTTCTTTTCTTTCTTTTTTATTGTTCCAGTTGAAAATGATAGAGAAAGCACATTAATAAATTTTGTCCCAGAATGGCGGGCGACAGCCACATATTGTTTCAACCAATCACAGCTCTGACCGCTGTTGGACCTTATCGGTCCCTTGCCTGAAGGCAGGCGATTGTTTGGACCTACCGTCCTGAAGTCGAGGTACTTGTTTTATTCCCAACTATATATTAATTACACTTTCGAAATACATGTTCGCGTATGTTTTTCAATATTTTGCCGTTCGAGTCGTTAGTTATAATGCCATACGCGTTACGCGGATCGTGTCGTTCTAAATCTGAACTTGATCGAGAGTAACGTTCGATTTGTAATAGTAATTAGAGATAAAATAGATTGGGAACTATGAATCATGACCTTGGCTGCGTGGACGCGTGGCTGGACCGAGAAACAATATCAATCGTAATGGATAATGAGTCGTGGGTAAATCGTGTTAACTGACTCGATCGTTCGAAATGTTGGAACGAGAAAATTCTCGTGTTTATTAAGATCACTTTCTCTTTGGTGATTCTCGTTTTGTTTTATTTACTTCTGTTGTTTTTATTACTATTACTATCGCTACTACTATCACTATTACTATTACTATTACTATCACTATCACTATCGCTATTTTTTCAATATTTATTAATTTTGTCAAGTTGCTTTTAGGATTGTACCGATCTGTTACATTCGTAATGTAATAATTTGATATAGTACATGCTGGGACGTTCCAAATATTGTTCGAAACGGTATAAAAGTCAATCAGTCTGTCTTTTTTCTCGTTCGACAGTTCGATCGTTCGTAGAATGCTTAGCTGGCTCTGTGTGTATCGATACATCTGTATCTTACGTTGCGCAAGAACCCTTCATTATCCTGTTCCTTTTTACGCTAATAATGTCTTTCCACTTGGTGACAGCGGATGCACGATTCGCTCGTGGGGATCGCTTTGCTCGAAGAAACCGGTAACACGGTGGCTCTTTGTCATTCTAATCTCTTTATAGAGCGGCTCGAAGCATCGGAAATTAAGTGCTACCTTTAAAACGATATTAGAATTACCGATTTTTCACTTCATCACGATACAATTTTCTTATATTTTCCTGTGTGTAATATTATTTATCGTTTTTTTTTCCTCACTTTGTCTTTTCATTAAGTAGACTATCGTATTGTTTGATTTGATGGACACAGGTGACAACAGCGTATTGATCTTTCTTATACGCGAATACGAAATTCAGTTGAATCGTAATTCGATAAGGGATTAGATTAAATCTGCGATTCAGTTAATTCAGTTCTTCCAATGTCTTTATTAAATATTCTGTCTGTCTTTATTAAAATTTACTTTGAAATTTGTTCATCACTGTACGATTTGTACGACACGCAAAACGTGTCGAGATCGAATTTTAGGTTGCACTTTATTCCTGCACGGACCGCTTACAGAAATTAGCAGTAGTCTCTACTCTTCTACAGCATTGTTGTTTTCAGCTGACTGCGCCTGAGTAGAATGGACAATTATTGTCGAAGGAAAAAATAGAGAGGAATAGGTGATACGTACACCTGTATCTCGTTAAAACAATCAATAAATGATAATTGTTTGATAGCACAGTGATCGCACGGTATCACGACTCAGATCATCGTACTTTTCGTACTGTTCGTTGAGGAAACAAACTTTCTAAATTGTTTTTAGAATTATTATGTCAGTTTCAATTGTCTTTCACATGTATAATGATACACCGAGACGGAGCAAGAAGTCGATGATCTTAATCGCGTTAACGTGTTCTTTTTCTTTTACGATACTCGAGTAACCAATGTCTTACCTTAAAGGGTTGCAGCTTCAAACAATCAAAATCACTTTTTTTTCTTTTTCTTTTATGAAATAATAGTCGCCGAGCACTGCTGTGCACACATACATATACTCGTATGGATATATTTGCATTGTGCAAGCAAACCAGCGGGTAAATCAGCACACCGGGGGTATTCTATGAATATGGAAGTCAACGGCAAAGGAAAACGAGTAGTTGTTAGTTCAAAGAACTTGAACTTTTCAGCCTTAACTTACTATTCTAAGCACTTGATGTTCTATTTATATTTTGCTGAAAATCTTGTCCAACTATCTTCGTCGCTATTTTGCATATATGTAAGGTGAGTCTTATAATATGACGAAATAATCGATAATCAAATAATTTGTCAGTTATTGGCTGTACGAAAAAAATATTCCAAGCAGAAACTGCATGGTTTTCAGAGGAGAGGTTTCAACACAATTGTGTCATCGTTTTATTGTTACTTTGTTCTTTTATTGATTTTTCAGTTTTTCTAAATCGAGTGCCTAATATCTTGAATTCGAATTTGAATAGAGTATCGAATTTTACATAAAAAAATATTATATGAAATGTATTCGAATGAATACAGTATGTGTATGTTACAAATGTATGTTGTAATTAATGTAGTTACAGTTAGATTATGAACGAATACAGAATTTTTTCAACTGCGACACATGGGCTAGCAATACAATCTCACGTGCGATGAATTTCAATTTTTAGTTTCTTTTCCAGAAGAAATAAACGGAGTCTTAAAAATGTTTAATATGACTTTCCTTTTTCTCTTTTTCTCACTCTCTAGATCGGAGTACTTGGTACAATATTTTCGCTTTCGTATTTTCATCGCACGCATCATAAACTATTATTATATCGTATTTTCACTATTATAATAAACACAGCATTTTCTACAATATTACTTTTACTTTGCACAACTGAACTGAAATGATTGTGAGATGATGTTTAACATCCAGTAAAAATTCTATTACAAATGTGTTCTGCTGTAACAAACATAGTTCTGTGTGTTTCTGTTACAGTTACGTTGACTGATTGTGAGAGTATTTCCTGGTATAAAATGATTAATTTAAATATCTTGGTTATTATTCGAATCGAAAAAGAAATATTAGGCGGCCTTCATATCTCGATAAAAAAGCAAAGTAACAAGAAACGATTGCAGTATTGTACGTCTTTAGAAACCAATCGTTTCATATAGCGAGTAACTTAGGAATAGATTGTGGATTTTTATGCTATGGAAAATTTGATATTGCAAAAAGGCATAGACTGCACATAATGTGCAAGTGTAATATCATGTCTGTGTTCTGTTTTTTTAACTATTTCGTATAAAAATATGAATTTGCATAAATATCCGCATTCTACTTATTCGGAGATTAAGTTATTCAATCATTATATTAAGAGTATACGTTTCAGTTAATTTCATTCATGTTTTAGTTTCAGTAAAATTTGCGAGTTCTTTTGGACAGAAAAGTAATCGAAGTTGACAGTATTATGAACCCTCGAGAGCTCTTCTTCTTCTGGTTTTGGAACATAAAAATAATTAGTAATTAAGATAGTAAATATATCTTTTATTAAAAATGATTTGCCAAAGTTACGCTATATATTGTAAAAATTGGATAATTCTTTCTAGAAAAATGACAAATATAACGAAAGAAAAAAAAAAACGATTGCAAGAGATCAGAAGAATGGTATTGAAAAATTATTGTCATTGCTGGCATTAAAAGGGCATAATGCATATTTGGTGTTGTCATGTAAAACCATGTACGTTGCAAGTGATCGCGAAAGTGAAAGCAAACTGTATAATATAGTGTATCCAATCGACCTCGAAATCGCGCAACAGTTCGTTCAACACGATGCCTAGTCAAACCTGTTAAGAGGAATCGAGCACCGGCATTAGAGAGCGAGTGCATTATTTCAAAGGCTATAAAAATGAATGTTGCAGCAGCCACGGTTGCAACTACAATGAATTCTTTAATCACCGAAATTTTTACCAATTTTTATCAGTAAGTAATTTAATAGAAACGTTTATTTTACGAAAATCTTTGTTTTGCAAATATCGATCAGACAAAAGAGTTAAAGTTAAAGTTAATTTTGATCATTAATTTTTGACCCTTAAGTTTTGACTTGTCACATAAATTTCTAAATCACGAGGCGTATTTAATTTATTCTTTCTTATGCGCACTGCTTGTCGCATACAGTAAAGGACCTTAGAATAAATAAAATTTTGAGGATCATTTATTTAAAATAACTTTAATTTAATGTTATCAGATTTGTGAGTTCAAAGGATTCCTTTAGGCTTTCTAAACAAATTTCCTCCTTTATATTCTATTGTTACCATTTTTGGATTTGTATGCGTGAGACATTGTAAGAAATTTTATATTTCTGACACAGTTGACAATATCTACATGATAGAATTTAAAATTATTAGAGACAAATATAAAATTAATTTGTAAAATAGAAAATTATTTTGCTTGGTGAAATAATTTCATCGTTTGTTGAGAAAAATTCGTTCGTTTATTATTATTATCATTGTCGGATTAAAAGATACACTTATAAAATTGTAGAAGTTGATCAGCGTAATTACGAAACACATGATAAAACATTGCGTGGTGGGTACGTTAATCGATGTTTGATCAAAACAGAAATAACAGAGAAGTCTCACGGAGAAGAGCAATTGTCTACGAAGATGCTTTGCATACAATCTTGAGTTCAACCGTTCTAAGAACTTTCACTTGGAATTTACGTCAAGGGAAGTGAACTAACTTGGCGATAAATCAGTTTACAATTAAGTTTTCTTTCACACTTGGTGTTTCATTTTATATTATGTGCCTTTTTTTCCCCTCTTTTGTTCATCATCTGTGAGAAATCTTTCCATGTCGTATTTTTTCTCCGCTTTCGTAATGTTTTCATATTGTTGTAGGCAGACGCGATACAGGATTTGTCTGTTTAGCAGTATCTTCCTTTATTTCTCAAATTTCTCCATTTATTTATGTAACTGTTTTTAATTAACAGATACGTTTAGAAAAGATATCATCGTTTCGTTACGTTTCAATTATTGCTACCTGTTGAAGTCAATTTTGAAGGAATATTCTTTTACGTGTATCGAAAATATCTTGAGAAAGAGTTTCTGTCTTTTTAAAAAAAGTCTTAATTTTATTTTTTTTTGAAAAAATTGAGATAGTTTTACGATTATTTAATTCCAAAATTTAAGTTGCAATAATTCTATACTTGAGTTAGTGCAATTTGTTGTTTGAGAAGATAAGACGTTTTGCAATTTGTGCAATAGGATTAAGAAATTTTCTTTTTACACTGAGATTAAAATTACTCGAAGATATTTCGGATAATGTATTTAAAATAAATCCTTTTGTTTTTAGCATAAATTCTTTTTTTATTAAAGATATTTAATACGTGAGAAATTTCTTTTTTAATATAATTAATAATGGAATCGATGGGTTTGAAAAATCTAAACTACTACCTAAAGCTACAGAATCCTGGGAAATTTAACATAAAAGATACATAATATTAATACATAATATACAAAAATGTATAAAATACAAGAAATATGTTTATATATATATATATGTGCATTCACCACTAATATACGCTTTTCAATTTGCAAACTTGCACTATTTTCTCTCATCGTCGTAAAACAATGAACGATCCCCGTATATTTTACTATAGTCGGTCCATCGTTCCTTTTCGCTACATAACAACGTAATGGATTAGCGGAGAACGATGAATCGTGGTATTTTAACAAGTTTGTCGAGCGAATCAGTACTCGCCTTGAACGGTATCGAAACGGTACTGTGGGAGAGCGTCTCTTCCATTTACCGGACGAATTCTGTTAGTTTGTCGCGTGTTCCCGACGCGATAGTACAATTTTGACGACGTGCTTCAGTCTGTCGCGATTTTCTTTCATCTGGAGCGCCAGGATAAACGGTAAATAAACAGAGTGAACAAGTAACGTGTTTGACCGAAAGACGAGTGCTCGATTTAGGATACTTTGCGTTAGTTTTGGGAAAGCAATTGACACGTCTGTTCCAAGTACAGTTAAATCATTGAGGACCAAGGTTGCGTTAACGCAACATCTCAGTTGCAATTCTCTTCATCCAATATTTGTATTATCAAATTCTGCTTTTTAATATTGAGACTATGGAAGGAAGTTCCAAGGATTTGTGCAATGATTTTTTTTTTTTTATCATTATATCTTTCAACTAGATTTTTTAAACTTTGATGAAATTGAGATATTTATAATGTTAGTTCAGGCTTAGTTCTTCAGCATTAGCTTAGTTCTTCTTATGAGATTCATAAAAAAAGCATGTTTCAACGTTAAACATTGCGCGAGTATAATCGAGTACTTGCGTAAGAAATTAATTAGCGATTTAAATACATTTTCAATCATTTGCTACTGCGATTCTTAGTGGAATAATTTGTATAGTATAAATATAATACTTTGAAAAAATTGTCATGAAATTCATGCCGATTAAAGGTTTTAAAATCGAAATTAAATAATTGTTCAAAGATATAGGAAAAAAATATCGCCCAAAAGATATAATCACCGATTTAAGTTCATGATAGTTTTGAATTATCTAAACGATTATTTTTTTGAAAATATATTCTTTTGGAAATATGTAAATTACAATTTCATTTACGTAAGATGTTGAAATTAATGGCACAGTTCGAAAATTTCAGCTTTTTTGGGTGAAAAAATGATTAAAAATGCAAAAAAATATTTTAAATTTACAGTTTTCTTTTACATGTTAAATATTCTTCGAAAAACGATGTTATTTTTTAATTAAATTGGACATTCAATATTGTCAAATAATTTTTTACTAGAAAAGTAGACCAAACATGTATTTTGAGGAAAAATTTGCTTGCACGTTTATAAATTTCGTCAGTGAGAATAATTTTGAAAAAAATTATAATATTTATCGTTTGCAAATTTCTCTCCTCTTTATTTGATTGTTATTTTTCCATTTAATTTAATTTGAATTTTTAATTCATTATTAAGAAAACTGTGTTTTAAATAAAACATTAATCATAATAAGGTATACCTTTATACTTCTGTAAATTTTACTAAAATGTATAGAAGTTTGTTCTAAAATATCTAAAACTGTTAATTTTCTAACTTGTGGTACCTGTGGCAAGTTTGTTGACCCACTTTACTACTATGTGATTGTTTGGCTCGTACGATAGAAAGTATGATTGCATTAAAGATGTAAGTTCTGTCTATTAGTGTCACATTTTTATTTTATTCAGAAATCTTACTTTCTTGGTGTTTATATTTTCATTTCAAGTTTCATTTAAAGAAAATCTAGTTATAGAAGTAAGCTTACTATATTTCTTTTCTGTATTTTTCTGTTATATTTGTTATACGTTATCGTAGAATGAAATTTTATTACTAATATACATATGTATGTTAGGTACAGTTAACGATTCAAATGCTTCAGTATTAATTTCAAATAAATTTTTTGAAAGAATATAGTTTATTCTACAATTTGCTTAAAAATGTTACTGAGATATTAGATACATCATAAAGATTTTGAAATAATGTAGTAATAATTTTGATATAGCGTTTTGAACATTCAATTCTCTAATTTCATTTTTTTCATATTTTATATTCCCATAATTTCTTGTAATTAATAATTTAACTTCTATAGTAGAATAAATAGAATCTTTTTACTAAAATCCTATTCTTTTATTTTCGATCGCTTTCTAATTGCTTCAGATTCTGGTTTTTGTATCAATAGCTATCTGATATAATTAATATTTATGTAATATTTTATCGTAATTAAGACTTATATAATATAATACTATTCACAATGATTTCTGATTTATGTCTTTGTCTTATCATTGCATTAACATCAATATATTATATGCATTTGTTCTACAAATTAGTCTTCCATTTATAAAATTTGTGGAACGCTTAATTTTGAGAAATAAAATCGCATTTGTTAATTCTTTCTAAATTTGTACATCTGATTTCAAAAAGAGAGGAAAAGAAATTCTGTAATGTCAAGTGAAACTTGTGCCACATATGCAAATATGTATAAAATTTAGCCAGAAAAAGAGTGAAACATATTGTATGTTAATTGATAAATAAATTCTATCATCCGAGATTCAATCAACTCGGAATGAATCATACTCGCATTACATTTAACATCTACAATTCTCACTTGCAATTCTAATTCTAATAATTTGCATGTGATATTAATTAATTCGATCGTAATGTAATTTGCAGCATGAACGCTGCGGCGGCAAAGGAGCAATTTAATTATAGAAACAGGAAATCATAATGCAAGCCAAATCGATTATACCGTTTTTCTACGTTCTACTCCAATGTCACTTCTGGATGATGGTTATTGCCAGTGATAAACTTGATGTAGTCTATCACTGGAAACAGCTTGAATACGAATGGCCAAGTAACGATACCGAGCTTCTCTTCCCAGGATACAAACAAGAGGATAATCTTCCCCTTGGCCTTGAAATCACAAGTACCAGAATCTTCGTCACCGTGCCGAGATGGAGGCGTGGTGTCGTTGCTAGTTTGAATTACTTTTACAGAAATGGTAATTATCATCGACAATGGACTCGTATACAAGACACTACATTTTTGTTACTCCTTACAAGCTTTCATAATTATTCGTGGAACAGTTATACATACTCGTAACACTGGTTAAGAACCTTCTACTCACGTATATGCCTGCGTATCCTTACGTAGATTTTATCTATCTTATGCTTCCGGTTACCTATTCCATATCAAGCATATGATGAACTTCTAAGAGTAAAATAATGATTTCCAGATACACGTAGGTCGCCCAATTTAATACCGTATCCTTCTTGGGAGGCACATCAATACGAAGCTGGAAGTGTGCCAGAGATCATTTCAACGTTTCGAATTCGTGCAGATCGCTGCGAAAGACTCTGGGTTCTTGATACAGGATTCACCGATATTTTGGATAGTCCAGAGCAGCAAGCACCACCAGCATTACTCATCTACGATCTAAGGGACGATCGATTGCTACGAAAATTCGTTATTCCCGAAGATCAAAGAACACCCGATTCTCTTTTTGCAAATATCGCGGTTGAAGATTATTCTTGCGAAGATACGTTTGCTTATCTGGCTGACTTGGGTGGTCCTGGCCTCGTAGTTTACTCGTGGAAGTCGGAAAAATCGTGGCTCGTTAAACATCATTTCTTTCAACCCGATCCTCAAGTTAGTATTTTTTTTATTATTCGTAATTGAAATTACTTGATATATAATTCCTATTTTCCCAATTAATAAAATCTAGATAAATTTTGAAAAAATATAAGTAGTAGAAAAAAATTACGTTGTTGTTTGTACTTTAAATTTTTAAAATTGTGATTTTAAGGCTGAAGAATTCAATGTATCGGGAATTTCATTTCAATGGACTGATGGTCTCTTCGGTATGGGTCTTGCATCAACTAACGATGGCTATAGTATAATGTATTTCCATCCACTTTCCAGCACCATGGAATATTCAGTTAGTACTAAATTATTGAGAGATCCTGAACGCGCCACTTCTTTAGGTAAATGATAATTTTTAAGTTAAATGACATATATGTATATGTCATAATATATCATAATATGAAGTCTCAGAGAGAGTCTTCTTTAATTTCCTACATATTCCTTTTAACAATAAGAATATAAGTTTTATTAATGCAAATTACAATGAATCTAATATAACGGATTCTATTTTGCTATTCGAGGAAGCTGCGTAAAAGTAAATCGCTAAGAAAAATTGTCAATATTTTATATTTATGTATAAATTACTTCAAAATTCAAGAGTTTCATAGACTTTTGTCGGCTTTACATCCTAAGGACGATACTTCGGCAACAAAGAATTAATTATAATTAATTTTTGTTGGTTTCAGATAATTTTCATGAATTTCATGCTCTCGGATCTCGTGGACGCAATGGTCAAAGTAGCGTGAGCTTTTTAGATCCAAACACTGGAGTTCTTTTTTATGCATTAGCTAGTTTGAACGCTATTGCATGCTGGAAACCTCGAAATATGTTCAAGATCGAGCAACAAGATTTTATTTATGTAGATAATGTTACAATGGTTTTTCCTAACGATTTAAAGGTAAAGATTTCCCTCGATTTCAAGATCAATGAAATTTCATCCTTTTTAGATTGCGAATTTTCATGCATTCATGAGAAATTAGAAAATGCACGTAATGTATATAATATGCAAATATAAAATATTCGAAGTAGGCTATTTATTATAATATGTAAATAAAAAAGATTTGTATTCAGATTCTATTTCTTTAATTATGTTTATGAAAATTTTAAAAGTTATAAATTATATTTACGTGATATAGTCTTGAAAAATAGTAAAAGGTAAAAGGTAAAAACGGCATATTATATTCTATTTGTTTCATTATCCTTTCTATTATTGAATTATACTTTATTTTTGATATCAACTTCTAATTCTTTTGCTTTTAATTTTAGATCGATCAAAATGGCAACATTTGGATACTCTCGGATCGTTTGCCTGCTTTTATGTACTCTCGCTTGGACCCTGAAGATTATAATTTCCGAATTTTTATGGGTTCGGCTAAAAAGGCTATAAAAGGCACCGTTTGCTCGATGAATTCATCTTCAATTTCAAACAGTCCGTACGATTCTATGATAGAACAGAAGAACGTTCATCCTAAACGTCTAAAAACAGTTCAGAATTCCGGTTATGTTTATAATTCTGGACTGATTTCCATATTGATTACTGTCATAACACTTTTCGTGAGAACATTTATCTGAAAAGTCTTTCATTTTTAATTAAGGCTATAACAATTTATTGAGTTTCTCAAAACATCGAGAATTCGAATTTCAAAGAATGTCGATGTTTTTATATGAATAGGGAACAATTGAAATGAGATGTTTAGGTAACTAATTAGACAATAAATATGAGAATGTTACTCTTAGTTTTCTATGAATTATGATATAATCGATTACTTCGAACGTTAAAAAAGCTGTTATTTATAATTAATTATTCTCAATTTTTAAATTTAAAGCTGTTATTTAAACAACTAAATTTGTCTGAATTATACATGACTATTTGAAAGAAGTAATACCGGTTAGATTTTGTTTAATCAATGATTTTTACAAGTACTTAAAAAGAGAAGTTTGTCAAGTACTAGGACTGATCACATAGTATTATTAGTTATATTATATATGTTCTCAAAAATAATTACTAGTATCAAACAAATTTTTCAAATATTATGGAGAAACTAATATTTAATTCGAGCAACGCGACTTTATGGAATTATTGAACTATATTGGAACTATATTAGAAGTGAAAACAACAATTTGTTTCAACAACTTATCTCACAAATTTGTTATGTGTAATCGATGGAATTAGTTCTATTTACATATGTAATATATAAAATTTGATACGTACTTAACAGTTTGCTAATGTTAAAAATGGAAATACAATGATAAAAATAGATAATTAATTTTATTATATTAAAAAAACTTGTCATTGGCATCCAAAAATGCAAATGATTATATTTAAAAGATTTATTTGATAACAAAACGATATTAAGATGATCGCCATTAATGAGTTATATAAGCATATGTACCTATCTATGTATGACTGAATTTTGCAAGAGAGAAAATAATAATTGGTGGTAATTTAAATGTTATGTCTGATGTAAAAAAGAATTGTTATAAATAAATATAAACATAAATATAAACATATAGATTTATATATATATTGAATAAGAACAGATTTTAGACATGGCATTACATAAAATCATTAATTAAGGATAGATTTTATCTTTGGTTAATGATAGAATTTCCTGCCTCATGTTACCTGTAATTTATTCTCATTTCGAAACAGTCAGTTGAAAAAGTGATTTCAAATAAAATGGCGAAAAAATATTGTAGTTTTAAGGACTCATTGTAAAGGGAATATTTCAATCTTTAAGATTATGATTTATCTGATAGAACTTTTCTTTGGTGAGATGTTTATATTATTCGAGAAAAAAAGTATTTACATTTGCTACACGATGCAAAAATAAATATCTTTGAAAGAAATAAATTCAGGATTATTAAAATAGAGACTGCGATTCAAAGTAAAACCAAGTTAATTGTTCTGCAATTTTTTTTTGATAAAATTATAACAGTTTAAAGTATTGAAAATTTCTTATCTGGAGTATGAATATTTTTGTTTTCTTAAATGAATTTTGTGTATTTGATTTAGGCCAGAGTTTTTATTTTTTATTTCGAGTTAACATTTCGAGTATATCGTACTGGGTTTAAATTAATTAAAGATTACAGCGCCCTTAACGGTGAAATACACTTCCTGCGATTCTCGAACGTAATCGATATTTCTCATGATCGAGTTTTAAGCGGGAAACATGGCGGAAGGAAGCACACCTCGTCTGTGAAGAAGGAAATATTCAGAGTATCATTCAGAAGTTCTCAGGTAAAAATTTAAATTAATAACTATTGAATTTGTTTTTGTCTTGTGAATTTTTAAGATAAAACTTGTATTTTTAACTTTAAGTCATCGAAATCTGCCATATTGTCAAAAACAGTGCATAATTTTTAGTCCTCTAAAGTAAAATTTAACCAAGTAATTATTACACATGATTTTCAACAATTAAAGAAATAATGGTATATAAACATTTAAACAGAACATACTATGATGGAAATTATTTATAATTTTATACCAAAATTCAATTTCAATTCTAACCAATGCAAATATTGTGACCTTGATATGATTAACTTATTATCATATATGTAATATGATTTTACTTTTATTGTAACATTTTCTACTCATTTGATTGTTGATTCTTTAACTTTATATAGTGCGTAATTCTTAACAATTCCAATACTAAATTCAACAGTAATTTATTAAGAATGTACATATTTAATGGCTAAAATAATAATTCTACTGTGTAATATAATAAAATTTCTCATGTTTCAGTTTAAAGTATTAACAATTTTTCATGAAATGTGTGATTTTTATTTTTTTTTTAAATTTCTCATGAATTTTGTGTATTTGATTTAGATCATAGTTTTTTATTTTTTATTTCAAGTTATCATTTCCTGCGAAACGCGCGATTACAGCGCCACTATACGGTGAAATATGGAATACACTTCCTATGATTTTCGAATCATGATCTATATTTCTCACGATCGATTTTTAAACGGGAAACGTGGCGGAAAGGAGGACGTCTTATTTGTAAAGAAGGAAGTTTTATTCAGAAGAATCATCCAGAAAGAAGTATTAGAAGTTCTCAGGTAAAAATTTAAATCAATAGCTTTCAGATTTGCGTCTGTATAGTGAATTTATAATATAAAATGTGTATTTTTGGCATTAAGTTAAGGTAAGATTTAACCAAATAATTATTACAATTTAATCAAATAATTATTACAATTTTCAACAATTAAAGAAATAGTAGCATATAAACATTTAAATAGAACATACCATGCTAAAAGTTATTTATAATTTTATACTAAAATTTAATTTCAATTCTAACCAATACAAATATTATGACCTTGTAATATGACTAACTTTTTATATGTGTAATATGCTTTTACTTCTATTGTAACATTTTCTATTCATTTATTGGTTTTTTAACCTTATATTATGTAATTCTTAACAATTCCAATACTAAATTCAACAATAATTTATTAAGGATGTACATATTTAATGGCTAAAATAATAATTCTACTGTGTAATATAATAACATTTCTCATGTTTTAAATTAAAGTATTGACAATTTTTCATGAAATGTGTGAATATTTTTGTTCTTTTTTAAGAATTTCTCATGAATTTTGTGTGTTTGATGTAGACCAGTTCTTTATTTTTTATTTCAAGTTATCATTTCCTGCGAAACGTGCGATTACAGCGCCACTACACGGTGAAGTATGGAATACACTTCCTACAATTCTCGAATCATGATCGATATTTCTCACGATCGATTTTTAAACGAGAAACATGGCGGAAAGGAGCACGTCTCATCTGTAAAGAAGGAAGTTTTATTCAGAAGAATCATCCAGAAAGAAGTATTAGAAGTTCTCAGGTAAAAATTTAAATCAATAGCTTTTAGATTTGCGTCTGTATAATGAATTTATAATATAAAACGTGCATTTTTGGCTTCAACTCAAGGTAAGATTTAACCAAATAATTATTACATCAATTTTCAATAATCAATGAAATAATAGCATATAAACATTTAAATAGAACATACTATGCTAAAAGTTATTTATAATTTTATTCTAAAATTTAATTTCAATTCCAATCAGTACAAATATTGCAACTTTGTAATTGAGTAATTTATTGTTTTATATATATACGTATTTTATTATATGCTTCTATACATACATTTCTATTATAACATTTTTTACTTTTGTTACTTCTTTAACTAAATACTGCATAATTATTAACAATTCTAATACTAAATTCAACAATAATTTATTAAGAATGTACGTATTTAATAGTTAAAATAATAATTTTACTGCGTAATATAATAAAATTTCTCATTTCCCAAACCAAGTAAGGCATGAAAGGCCTCGAAGTTCAAAACAACAACACAGAAACGTTTGTTCGTTCAGGTTTGTCCCATCCCCTACTATTTCCCAATAAAAGGACGAAATGTGACGCGGGAAGTCATTCGACTCTTGAATTTCGTGACAACAACACGTATTACGTCGCATTAGCTTCGCAACTTTTCTAATCTATCGGTGACGTCTCTTCGATAGCGTCTCTTTTTCGATACTCTTATTTCCATTTATTCCTCATTAATAGTATTATTTGATTAATACGCGTGTATTTGACGATTCATTGAACATGAAAATAACGAAATCGAGTAGGATTTTAAAGCTTTTCTTGCTAGGATTTTTCTTCAATCATCGATTTCACTCTTACGATTACCGATACCTTGTCTCGTACGCTTCTTTAATAGAATTTGAAGTAGATTATCGTTTCATTTTTACATATTTGGTTTCATTTGATACATTTGTTCTAACTTTTGGTTTCTTTTTGTGCAGGTTATTTCTTGATTGCAAAAATATCATAGAATGCATGGACATCACAATCATTAATGAACAATCATTGATGAACTTTCATGGAAAGTTGGTAACATTTTATTCATTCTAGGTAACATTTGCTATGTAATTTATATATATTTAAAATATAATTCACAATATGTTATTCGTAATTATTTGTAATACAAAGATGAAAATGGAAAAGATTAAATTAATTAATATTTTATTTCGAATGTGGAAATCATAGCTTAATGGTATATACTTTCAAATGAATATATATTCTTGTATTAGATTATTAAATTTAAAGTTTTCATATTTTACTATATTATACTTTGCTACAATACTTTGCTTTAATCATTTTTTAGATAATTTCTTCAATCATTTTTTAGAAAAATAGTAGTATTTTCTAAATGAACGTACTCTTTGCCCTTCCCCTTTTAATCAGCTTTATTTTCAGAAAATTTTTGTGACTGCGCGCAATGCGGTTGGTTGAGTCAGTGTTTATTGCGCAGTATTTTAATACTTTTCTGAGCAAAATGGCTCTCGTTAAATTAGATTAATTCGTTTAAATTATAATTCGCGAAGTTAGAGTCAGTGAGTCCGCCGATTATTATTTAAACGCGCGCGTTGATAGTCTTTTATTTTTCTTTTTTTTGTATTTTTTCTTGTTTAGTGTTCGGTTTCGGTATATTACAGTCAGAGTGCTCAAGGCCTCTTCAGGAGATCAAGATCGTAAGTTATATATTATACTTTAATTTACTTAATTTTTCAAATAGAAAGATAACAAAGTATGATGTTAAATGTTTTGTTACAGACGTTTCACAGCATCAATTTTTTGATATATTTTGGGGAAAATCCAACGGTGGCTCCAAAGCCAAAAATGTAAGAATCTCTCATTATCTCCAACTTAAGATTTTGTTTTGCTTTTAAACATAAATTCTAATGTTTAGTGTTTTGTTACAGATTTTCTACAATCTCCCCTTCCTCTAATCTTTTAAGGATCTTATGATGCTTCAAAAGCTAAAAATGTAAGTACTTTAGCATGTTGTATTTGAATTCTATTCTCTACAGTACTTTTTCTAAAAACACTTCAAATTAATCCGAATTTTTATCATTATTAAAATTTAAATTTTCACAAATAACACTGTGTCTTTAGAAATAAAATATTTTATGTTTTTCAGGAAATTTTTCACGACATCGAGTTCCACCATGGGTATCTACTTGATGAGAGTCTTCACGACAACTTTCCCTGGTCTACTGCAGCATCGGTGATAACGTTCTTCACATCTGTCGTGTGAGTCGCATGCATTTATGTTCCTCCGGCCACTCAATCATGTCGTAGGATGAAAGGTCCGAATCGGCACGAGTAACTGGTTGTATATACGTAGAATTTTTGATGAGCATAGTGACCGCGAGTATTTTTTATACCCGTGAGTAGTAATATTTTTTCAGATTTTTTATGTATTAGATCAGGTAGGACTTCTTGCACATCGCAATTTTAATAATTAAATTTGTACTAATTACTTATAAAATCAAAATATCTTCAATATTTGCAAAGATAAAATATGTATATGAATATTCATATGAATATATAAATTATAAATAATTATTATTAAAATAATTTCGTTTGAGCATTCCATAGTAGAGAAGACGGATACCCTCCGATTTCGTTGCTATGAAAGATGCAATTATTACTTATTGATATTGGAGATATATTTTGTTAAATAATTAATAATTAATAATTTTCAATTTCATTTTCCCTTTTATAATAACATTAAATATAATTAAATATATAATTATAAACTTCAGTAAAATTTGAAATATAATAGATTAGAATTTTTTCCGCAGAAAAACGTATGAAATTTTATGTGCAAGAAAATACTTCACGACAGGTAAATTTTTGAATCAAAGCAATAAGTTTGATCACTGCTTTCGCATTTTCGAAAATGTGCTTTGATGAAGAAGTCGCCTGAAATTGTTTCCATTAACATTTAAATTAGAGTCAATTGATTTTGAATCAATTATTAAATTTTATGTCTTTTTTAATAAATTTGATTCTTTGTCTTTAATCTCTTGCAATTTCAATAATTTCTGAAAGAGTAGAGTTATTACAGTCTGAAATAAAATAGTGCAATAGTCCGTTAAATACAAATTACATAAACTAATTATTTTTTTAGTTCAGGATTTTCAGGTTTAATCCCTTCCGTGTTCATTGTCAAGATCTCACTCACGTGCTCAGGTGCTACTTGGGTGGGTGAAAGACATTGGGCACGATGACCATAGTTTGTAGTTTTATTAAAAATTTCTTAGCAACTGACAGTGTGTTAGTGTATCGTGTACGACGTATTTTCCGCATATGTGTGTGTGATTAGGATGTGGAATTGCGTCGTTTCTATCGTTCCATTCATTATAAGTTGAACCATTTAAAATATTTATACGCGAATTTGAAGTATGAATTTATTATAGTAATATCTATCAAATACAAAATACTATAATTATATTATTAATTATACAGTCAATTATAATGATGATTCCAACTCAACTTGCACATTCTATAGAAATTATATATATATTTTTTGAGTTATTAAGAGAATTGTAAATATAAACGTGTTTTAATCACGTTTTACGCAATGTTCGCTAGCCATTGTCAGTTGATTTCAGGAAAATGGTACGTAAATTAGAGTGTGAAAGTTGTGTGTNTTAAATATAGGGCCCCTGGATAGGATAGGTAGCTTACTTTCTGGTATGCCTGTGTTTAATTATAAGTAGGTAGGGCCGGGCAGGTTGGCACAGTCTCTGGTCGTGTGTCTCCTTTTCGCGTGTCCAACCTGTTTCAGGAAATCTAATTTAAAAAATCGACAGTGAAACTGGTACAAATGGAGCATGCCACTTGTTTCTGTCTGGTTTTATTCTTCGATTTTTTTGAATTTAGTATCGCGGTCGCGGTCGCGGATAGGTCGCGAATAGGTCCCGAAACGAACGTTTATGTAGGTATTGCTCGAGCACGCACATGCGAACGGACAACGATCACTATGATCGATGATCGTCCATGTGTATTGAGGTCAGCTTTCGCGATTTATATTATTATTTCACCTTTATAAGTTATTTTTTAGTTTGCGATTAGAAAGACTCGAGCTAGACGTAAGTTTCAGCGGGCATTGCGCTCGAAGAAAAGAAGAGGCTTGAAGCCGAAGAGGCCCGGCAAACTGCCACGAAGAGGGTCACAACAAATGACTTCTCATCCTCTGGGTCAGTTAAATGATTCCATAGCATGGGATGTCATTCTCGTTACTACTTTGTCACTATGCTCTTTTAGTATTTGTAGTTGTATTTTTTTTTTCTTCTCCATCATCGTTCATCATCGTTTCTTGTTAGTGTTGCGAAAGATTGATTACGGTTTAAATTAGAGTTGACGAAGAAATGAGAATCGTGTTTGCATTAGAGTTGCGAATTATGATATCGTGATTGTTTTTTGCAATTTCGATCGTTAATTTAGTTGTCTTAGTGTTATGTAAATTTATCTTGCTTTCTGTTGTTTTAATTCATATTATAGAATCATTGCTTTTAATTAATTTTAGAATATTAGAACATTCAACGTAGTTTTTTTTTCGTACAGTAGCTTTTGTATTGTTGATTAATAATTTTATTTGAATTTGGTTTTAGAGTTAGTGTTGCGACATTGTTTAATCGCGATTTTCAATTACTTTTATTCTTAGTGTTGTGATATTGTTCCTTCGCGATTTTTAATTAGTTTTCTTCTAATTGTTAGTGTTGCGATAACGAATGATCGCGTTTTTTGAAGTAGCGTTGCATTTACGAAATGCCCAAATTCTTCCACTGGATTCGTAGAACGCTGTTTTTGCTCCCGAATCATCTGATGCAGCTACAAGAGCTGTACGAAGGTGATCATTTATCAGCAATCTGCAGCATGGTTGCACTGAACGCGTTGCATATAGTGTTGCGTATCTCTAAATACGAGTGCATAGATTAATAGCATTGCGTACTTACTTTCGGGAGTTTTAAACATACACTCTTCGCGTCTGATTTTGAAAACTTTTTTTCTATTTTTTTCTACTTTTTTTTGTATATTTTCTTGTTCAATATTCGTTTTTGATATTACAATCAGTGCTCAAGAGGATAACGCCTCTCCAGGAGATCAAGATCGTAAGTGGTTTTATATATTGTACTGTCAATTTACTTAATTATTCAAATTTGAGTATAATTTATAATATTTGACGTTTCGTTGCAGACGCTTCACAGCTACAATTTTTTGGTGTATTTTGGGGAAAATCCACGGTGGCTCCAAAGCCAAGAATGTAAGAATCTTTCACTATTTTCAATTTAAGAATTTGCTTTGCTTTTAAATACAAATTCTAATTTTATATGTTTTATTACAGATCCTCTACAGTCTTCAGTTTCCTTTATCTTCTGAAAATCTTATGATGTTTTAGAAGCTAAGAATGCTTTAGCATGTTATAGATTCAAACAATTAATTATATAACTAATATAATTATTAATTATGTGACAAATAATACGAGCTGATTTTCGTGATCTCGGTTAGGCGTTTATATAGATGGTCATATCCATTAGAATAATGAAAAATAAATAATACGTAGTTTTTACGTACGGGTAACTAATTTGTAAGCGTATGGAAAATATTTCATTCGAATTTGTACATTTTTCGTACAAAGATATTTTAGAAAGTCTAGGAATAATTATTTCTTCTATAATGATTATATCTGTAAATAAGAGGGTTGCTCTTTTCTTAATTCCTTTTATATTGTATTGAACTTTTGATAAAGTTATTTTAACTGATAGGTCCTTTAATTTTTAAATATTCAGAATAATCAACTTCATCTTCAGCGTATCACGCGCGAAGTGATCACGCATGGAATAGTCAGTCTATAAGTTCACTTGATTGTCTTCGTTATCGAGCCGAGTAAAAAATGAATTAAAAGGATACAGGCAAATTTAGAACTGCTTAATGGAAACATAGTTGCCAAAACCTAAAAGTCCCCGTTCGTTGGTTAAAGATGAGGGGTTAAGCAAGATTTGAATAAAAAAAATGTACCATTGCTGGGAAAGACATTTAACACGTACAATTAATATCACCATGTATTTTGTTATATATTTACAATTTGATAACAGAAACGTTAAACGTAACAGGTAGCCTTGCCTTCGGCCGAAATATCTGTTTCAGGTATTTTTCGGTGGAACGCGAGGCCAGCTAAAAATCACATAAATATAATAATATTCGTCATAATAAATTCATTACAATCCATAATATGTATATTTAATATATGTTATTTAAATTTCCTTAAACATCTGTTTAACCGGCTCAATTTCTCTCCCCCGTTGTTATTCTCTTCGTTACCGATCATGGGCTTTGTTTTTAATTAAGTCTACTATTACTCGCTCCTTTTTCTTCTTCTTTTTTTTTTTTTTTTAGTCTTTAATATATTCGGATTGTCCATACTTAATGATATTTATTACGTAACTTTTTTTTTCCACGAAATTTCGCAAGTCATCTTAAAAAAGATTTTATTCGGTACAATGAACTTTTATGTCTTGTTTTTCTATCCATTCACAACGATGCTGAAAATGATCGATGAATTTGTCGATCGTATCGTACAACTTGGCGAGAACATCGTAAACACATTCCTTCGGTTCATTTTATTTTAATCGCTTAATTGTATGTACAAAAAACTTTGATTCTCTTTCTTTTTTTTTTATATTAACACGTACTCTCTTCTCCTTTAAGCTCGGTCTTCGTGTGGTGGTTCCATAAAAACAAGGTTCTAAGTCGATCAATCGTGAGAACTTTAACGCGTTCACTGTTATTTTAGTCTGTTTGAACATTTGAGAATATTCCTCAATTTTGATTTGATTTGCCTTATAAATTAGAAATAAATACATAATTTCGTGTTTGATTTGATTAAGGACAATTTGATTAATTGGCAACAGTGAAAGTGTTAAATTCTGTTTAGTAGATAACTCTTTGAAATATATTTTTCGAATGTTTTTATGTTGCACAAAGCAAGGAAGTGAATGAGTAGATAAGTTTAATAAAAATTACTTGCATATTAGCGCAGGTTAGAATTTTACAGGCAGAAATTATATTTTCGATAACAAATTACAGAAGAAAATCCTTTATAATCTTATTTTAGATTGGGGTATATATGAAATGTCGTTTTTCAAATATAATTATGATTATACATAGCTTTTTCAAAGTATTATTTCCCACAATGATTCATGATATATTTTTCCCACTGACAAATTCCAAAATAAGAATGATCAATTTAGTAATTTAAAAATTTTTGAAACGAACTTTTTGTTTGCAGTCTGTTTTAAATAATTTATGCATTAACTCTTCATAGGTAAACTGAATCGTTTACGTTGTTAGCGAAACTTCACTCGTGAATTTTTCAGAATAAATTTTACTTTTCCTGAAAAATCTTTTAAAGATTTGACTAAAAAACTGATTGTATAATACGGTAAAGACTTCATTAAGCAGTCCAGAAATTTTTTTACATTTTTTGAAAGTGTAAAATAGTAGAAATTGAACGATTTCGCTTTTCTATGGACGATGTAATAAAAAAAGGGTTAAAAAATTGTGTAAGTTGTCTTGAACCTTCTCTCAATCTTAAATGTTTCCTGCAACTTTCAGAAGAGCACTTCTAAGTATAAATTTATCTAAGAAAGTCGCAGGACTGGTTTGATCATTCATTTTGATTATCTTTGTTATAAATTTTCTGAACATTGAAAATACATTATTTGTAACAAGTTCCTTCTTCTTCAATGTAGTTGATAATTAATTGATAATTGATAGAGTCAAACTTCGAAGACACGACATTTCATATACGTTAATTTAACAATAATCTCTATATGATATATCGAGCATTCGAAACAATGAAAAATTAGTCAATCAAGATAAAATAGTGCTTCAAAGAATCAATTGGAGCAACAGTCTCTTTTATTTGAACCGACCGGCGAAATTCTTTCTTTACGTGAATTTACGTGTCCAGTGGCAGTGTGTTATGCACGATAACAGATTTATGTTAATTTTTTATGTTACACTTATATGTATTTCATTATCTTTACAAAAAGATCACGTACACGTTTGGATCCAATACGAATCGACTAATTTCTTCATTCTCTAACGATTTAACGTAGAATTTCGCGGATCTTTAGTCAGATCCAATTTATAGCGTATGATTTATCCATTAATACGCGCGCTTAAACCAACGACCATACCTGTGCACAGTCGATTCGTAGACTATACGGCCCGATTTACATTGACGATTTAATCATCCGTGGTTACCGCTACTGTACAGCTTAATTTGCTCTGCCGACTTAGCCATGTTGTAATTAAATGTTACGCAGTAGTCTCTCTGATTAAATGGTACCAGATGAAGTATCACGTTCGAACGTAGCGTGATTGAATTGAACGGCAGAAATTGTTTGAAGAAAGAAAAGACTATCATAATGACTAGACCGCTTATTTTCATGCATTTTATGGGAAATTTGAAAGTACAAAAATGCACACAATGTACGGAATATATAAAGATGTGCATTATCGTGCATAAATAATTGGATACTTATAGCGCTTCCGTGAGAAGCTTGATATTTTTCTTTTTTTCACGATTGACGAGTGTTTTTTTCTGTATTTCCAATATTATAAATAATTGATGCTTTATCAGATTTGTTCAAAACTTTCCAATCTTTCGTTGGAAAGATATTCCAATCGTTTTAAAATTTCAACAACAAACAGACTTTGCAGCCTTCAGCCACCTGTTATTATAATTATCACAATTTTTTATCAATATCTATTAATTGTACATGTTAAAAAAATTCATTATGATGTAATAATTTGGAAGCGTTCAAATATTTATGCATGGTAGTGTCCTCATTGCGAATGTCTGGTTTTCATTTTTTTTAAGTTACGTATGCACAAAAGATAGGAAAATGCATAAAAATCCGTGATATAGCCGTAATATAATATAATAACGAGTCATTTCATGTAAATCTCGTCTATAAATAAAAGAATAACAGTATTCTTCGCTATAACGTCGTGACTGAGTAAACGAAAATTTATGAAAAGAATCGCGGCCGAGCAACAAGTGTAAATCGAGCCTTTCTCATCTCTTTTTTTTCTTTTTTTCTTTCTACCAATGATATAACGTGGTAATTTAAGTGAAATGAAATCCTCTCGCTAGAAGATCTCTCGATGTTACCAAAAGCGTAAAAAAGATGATAATTAGCCACACACCGTTTCGCAGACGTTCATTTTGTCGGAACGGTATGATTCGAAAGCGTCGCTCAGTCAGTTTGATTCTTTTTTTTTCCCTGAAATCGAATCATTTCGAATTACGATATTACAATAATGGGACGAGATTGAACGACGTTGTTCATCGACAATCGAAGCTTTTCATTGACAAAAGAAAATTCATTACACCAATATATACATGTAAATTCAGATATTTCAATTCCGTTTTTTTGTGCTTTAACCAAAAGAACAGGGTGAGCTCTCTTGTCAATCTTATTTTTCTATTTTAGTTTATTGGGTTGTTAAAAAAATTGTCACGTTCCAAAAACTTTGTACTCGAGGTTCAATGGTACGTTCGCGGTGATTCTAATTAATATCTTTTATGCATTTCTTTATGAAGTTTTATAAAAATCGATGCTTGATGGTGATCTCTTTGTAGTATATAAATCACGATATTCAGAGTTCGTTTAGGTTGAACCAATGATGTTGTTGTTTAAAGAAAATCTCAGAGATGGACGGTCAAATGTGTTGTATGCGTGAAGAAAGCACCTGTTATTAGTGATGGGATTTGAAACACTTTCATTCACTTTGAATCTGTACCGTCAAGCAGGATTCGAAGTTTAAAACTCGAAAATTTCGAAAGCCTTTTAGTTGTCTTGAAAGTATTCAGTTTATTAGATTACTTTGGCTCGAACAGTAACAGGAAATATTGAAGAAAGTTGAGATAGTCCAAATTACGGAATGCACGCAATTAGATTGCAGATCTTCATGCATTTATAGAAAATTTGGAAGCGCAAAATTGCATAAAATGCAGATAATATGATAAAATATATAAATTGCTCAAAGTACAATGATTTTTCTAATTCAAGAATTTCAAAATTTTCAAAATTTCCAAGACGATCGAGACTTTCGAGATATTCAAGATTTTTTTCAAGCTTCGAATCTGTATGTGCAAACAATTCGAATCACTTTGAATGTATATACTGTATATACATATAAAAATTCGAAATGTTTCGAACTGTCTCAAATTTCATTATTACTTTGTCACTTTGACCATTTCAACACGTTACTGTATCTCTAGTTTTACTTTTACTTGCCAACTATTACAACGGAAAATGAAATAAGACGATACTGCGTAAAGGTTGTTCCTTTTTTTTTTTTTATCACGGTTAGGATAAGGCGAGTCATTTTTATCCCAACATTCGTTATTAAACGAATTAATTGGAAAAAATGTGCTTTATGCCGACTGAAATATCTTACGTTCGTTCGAAGTTACTATTTCATGCAGTCCAATATCCAATAATATTAAAAGTCAGGATATAAGTACGTTCAATGGTGTTGAAAGGATTGAACAAGAAGAAAAGAAAACTTGAATTAGTCTGAATATATTATCGATCTTGTACGTTCTGAAATTCTTTTATCAATCAAAAGCAACATCGAGTCGACTCGTCGACGAGCTCTTCTCTCGCAATGATGATCTGAGCGCCAGTATGATCTCTCGCACGCTTGCGCCGCATAACGTTCACAGTCGACTTGTAAGTGGAAGAGAAAAATGAAAGACAAAAAATGGGGAGAAACGAATAGAACGGACGATCAAACTGTACGCGATACGAGTACATGTCCCCTTAGAAAGTAGCAAATATGTTTGGCTTTCACTTACGGTATAAATTCACTTTTTTTGTCTTTTCGTTTCATTAAATATATATACAAGGAACATCTAACATCGTAGTGAATAGCGTTTTATACACGAGTCTCCGTGATCGATTTTTGCCTTGAGCGTCTCTTTTTTTCCCCTCGTAACACGTAGAATTCGTTATTACCGACTAGCTAGCTGAACGTACTCGTTTGATTTCATTATGAGACGAATCTTCCTCCCTCCAAGTACGATCCAAGTACGATCAATCAGTAGAAAGAAAGTCGTCGATCTTCGTGGCTTTCGAGTGTCGGGAATTTCGACTCGGTCGGTCATATTTGCGATCCGTCTGTCGTTCCCGGTCACGATGCAGTTCTGGTATCCGTCGAGACACGCGACTCAAGGTTTTCCCCTTTTCACATCTCGGCCTCGTTAGGAATCTAGAGAGAAATCTGCCCGATAAAATTCGTTTTTCGAATTTCCACTATTCGTATACTTGCAGTTCCCCACAGTGAACCCTCTTTATAAAACGTCAGACTCCTTTCTCGCGATCTTCACACAGTTTCATTATTTAGATTAGTTTCTCTCGCTGAAAGAATTTTTCTTGAGTTTTTCTCCCCGTGTTTCACTATGATTCCTCGGATCTTCTCTCGATTATTCTTCATCGACGAATACCGGATTTTCCTATCCCTCACCCCCCTCCCCTCTCCTCTTTTGTTTTTTCAAGCGTTCCTTTAGCAATTCGAAGAAAAAGCTGTGTTCACCCCCCTCCGTTGGTTTTGTTCTTTTTTTCGCGACGCGTCGTCGTCAACTGGACGATGGAAATGGAAAACGGTAGAAGCTTTCGGGCCAGGTGCCAGTCGAGTGTCGTTCGTTGGAATTTCGCTGGAATCCTTTCGTGAAAGGAGTTCTTGTTGTTCTTGTCTCCAGAGTGTTTCTTCTTTTCCTTTTTTTCTTTTCTTTTTTTCTTTTTCAAATTCGTCGGACTCGACTAGGACTTGACTGGCATGGACGAGACGGTGTTTTCGTTTTTTCTGTTGTTCTTAAAGCAATGTCGATGCCGTGAGAACGTCCGGCACCACAGGCTTCGGAGGGGGGTCCAAACATCACACTCTCATCTCACTCATCGTAGCTTGGGACACACGACTCGATACGGTGGCATTCTGCAGCAGGGGCTGGTTCTCGGGTGGACTCTTTGCTCGTGGGGGTGGTGGGGCTCTTGGTACTGTCAGATGTATGGACCCGTTTGGTGGACCCTGAAATGTTTACGTATAGCGTTAGGAAACGATAATTCGAACGGAATGAAACAGAACAATTGTAATCGAATGCAAACGTTATGATAAATAAAATCATAAATGTCACGCGATCTCTCGTACAGGGAATCAATTTTTAATCCTAAACATGCTTCACATTATTTAATTAATGATTTAATTTCGTTCGTCTATCAAAAAGAGAAAAATATATAAAATACAAAATAGGATATTAAATATACCTGCGTCTTCACGATACCACGATTTAACATTATCTTTGTTAACGTTGGAAAGGTTTTAGAACATTTTAAAGGATACAAAAATTTTTTCGATGGGAAATAAAAATTGAAATAAAAGACGGGAAAAGGTTTACTTCGCCATCTTCGTTATCCCCACTAAATTTAGGGAAATTCGCTAACGAGATAAAAGGATGGCGCCGTCGAAATAATCGCCACACCATGGGAGAAGAAGCTTTCCCCGGTGTAAATTTCACCTGGTCAGACTTTAGCAGTTTTAAAAGCTCCTTAATAGGATTATGAACGGAGCTTCCAAAGGCCGTGGCTCGTTAAAACGGCGAAAGTTTTTTAAATGAACAGGACGAGTACAGAGATCTTCGATCTTAGCGTCATGAATAAATTCATTATTTATGGTAAATGGATATTACGAAATACTCCGATCCATTATGTTGCCTCGTTTTCTTGAAAAAGAAAAAAAAAAAAAAGAGAAGAAAAAAAGGAAAAGAAAATGAAAATTGGATGTTGAATATCGTGTCTAGATTCTGTTCGACGCAATGAAATGTTTGAATTCTCTCGATTGTAGCGCAAATTACGTTTGAAGAGAACTTTATATGCAGAATGATGCAAAAGTCATCTCTTGATCCATTTAGTTTGTAATTTTTACAATTAAGAGTTAAAAGATATGATTGGTACAGAAAGAAAGATTGATAATTTTGTACATTGTATCAGGTAAACGAGCGTCGTTATTTTGTTTCACTTATAACATTTTTTCTTTTTTTTATTGGCGGAGAGAGATCGTACAGCAAGAGGGGACTTCAATCTTGGAATCCGTTCATTTATGAAAAAGATTTTCTTCACTTTGCTACATAGTGTAAAAATATTGCATCTTATATAGAATAAAATGAACGATATATTTCGAAAATAGAGGTTTCGAGCTTTAAAATGAGTCCAAGTGTATTATCGTACGATTTCTTTTTACAAAATTACAATAAGTTTCAATGTCTAGTGTCCGAATATTAATACAAGTTGCTTCAACTTTAAATAAATTATTCAACTTTAATAAATTATATAATCACAGTAAAACAGATTTATATAATTTGGATAATTGGAAAGTGACTTTTGCAGCGTTCTCTGTAATACGCAAGTAGGAAAAATGAAAAAAAAAAATATATATATATACACAAAAATTTAATAAAACAATAAAAATGAAAAGATCAATACGTAAACGATGAAAATTATCGCGAAAATATGGAATTGTCGATTGATAGAACTTCATGAGACTTCGTTCCTCTATCTAATGCGTGACAGGCTGCTCGTAATCGTTGGAGTAAAATGACTGACTCTCACTTGGGTTTGTGCATTCATGTCCTGTACGACGGAAGCTCGGGGAAGAGTGGCATGCTGTTGCTGATGTTGCTTTTGATAATGGTGTTGATGAGGCAACGTGTGAGTTCCCTGACCCTGTTGGAGAAGCGTGTTGGGATCGTTCGGAGTGCCTTTCATAACGTTCCTGGAACGACGATCGATCGTTACGAGCTTCGTAACAGTTAGGGATTATACGTAATTATTGGTCAAGTAAATGCGTCGCTACATTAACGTCGAACAAGAATCATGCACTAGGGTATATCCAGGGAGAAGGTGGCCATCGACGATACAGATATGTATATATATATATATATATATACGAAAGGGTGGCATGAGAAGCTTATTTACAAAATGAAACGATGATAAAGTGACGAGTGACGTGATTTCTGATTTCGCGAATTATTGTAAACAGGGATTGGTAAGAATATTGTGTAACATTAGAAAGCAGGGATCGAAAAAGTTGTGGACCTTTTTAAAAGGTTGATCCATTTGAAATATGGATCGTGGGACTTTTTTGATAAAAAAAAAAAAAAAAGAAAATATTCTTACATTACAAGTTCCGATGAGAATGGAAGAAAAGTTCCTTGGGAATAAAAGTTTCAGTTTGAATAGAATTTACACGATATAAAATAAATATTTTTCTGTGACAGATAATTTGTTCATCAAAAATGTTCATTAAAAATGTTTTCAGTGGATACTATTCAATGAGAAGCATTACAAGAATATTAATTAGTTATTACATGTTGTGAATATGTTATTTATTTAACATATTCGTAAATGATTTAACAGTTTAAATCTGATTTGCATTTCTCTTTGGAATGAACAGTTAAAAAGTTGAATATGACAAATATATTTGACATGTGACAAATCTATTTGTAAAGTAATGTAATATCTGACCACCGTTGTTTAATTGAACTTTCAAATGTGAGACAAAATTCAATTTGAGCAAAATTTCAATAATACGGTGTTATATTATTAACTAAAACTAATAACTATTGTTAACTAAAACTACCTAAAATAATTTAATATCTTCACTTATTTTGGACTTTTTTAAATAAAATCCATGGAACTTTTATTACGTATTAGAAAAGATATTCGAAAATATCTTTTTTTAAAGAAGTTCCTGATTTCTTTTTCCATGAAAATTCCACAGAAACAGATATTTTCTACACGTGTAAATTCGAGTTTTTAATTTTTCCAAAA